ACATGTTCAGGGTTCATTTCCAACCTTTCCAAACCCTCCCTGCTTCACCTGGCTCTTGCAAGGACCACGCTGGTGGTCAGATACTACCCATTCTTCCTCTTTTTAAAAAGTATATTTTTATTTATTTCAGAGAGGAAGGGAGAGGGAGAGAGAGATAGAAACATCAATGATGAGAGAGAATCATTGATCGGCTGCCTCCTGCACGCCCCCTACTGCAGATCAAGCCTGCAACTCAGGCATGTGCCCTTGACTGGAATCAAACTTAGGACCCTTCAGTCCATAGGCTGATGCTCTATGCACTGAGCCAAACCAGCTAGGGCTGCCCATTCTTCCTGAAAGGATTTAAAAATCAACGGTCTCTGGGAGTCAACATGGACTAAGAATTCATCATAGTTCTTAGCAGTGGAAGCTTGATTTGTTTTTTAAAATAGTCATCTGTAATCATGTTTAAAACAATTTGGAAATTAATGGACTACTTTAAATATACTGTGTCTTAATTTTTGCAAAACACTTGACAAAATTTTTGATGATGTTTTTATGGACAGATGATGAAAGCTAACATTATACTGCTTAGGCAGAGGCACAACCAACTGAATAATACATTGAAAGAATACTGATTACTGGTTCTGAAAAAAAGTTTACTTAACATATACCACCTACCCAGTTCTTGTCCTTGGCCCTGTCAGGGGCAACATTTTCCATAAATAATATGAAAGAAAATTACATATAACTGATTAACACATAAAAACCAGAGATTCAAAATTATTAAAATAATAATGATTTTAGCCCTGGCTGGTGTTGCTCACTGGTTAGAACATTGCCCCATGCACCAAAGGATCATGGGTTCTATTCCCAGTCAAGGACACAAACCTGGGTTGCAGGTTTCCTCCCCACACCTGGTTGGGGCATTTGCAGGAGGCAACCAATCAATGTGTCTCTCATATCAATGTTTCTCTCTCCCCCCGCCAACCCCTCAACCCTGTCTCCCCAATCCTCCCTCCCTTCCACTCTCTGAAAATCAATGGAAAAAATATATATCCTCTAGTGAGGATTAAAAAATTTCACTTTAAATAAATATTAACTGTTAAGTTTTACATTTAATCTCAGGAGAGGGAATATTAGGCTTTAAATCAATAGATATGAGTATATAGTTAATTACAAGTACAAAATTAGTTGGGAAAAAGTGTGGTTGCTTCTTGGCTAACTTAGCTTTAGGTATTAATAGGAGTACAATCCCGAGAACTCAGGAACTAATATAACTTACACCATTCAGCACCAATGAGACTACTAATATATCTTGTGTTATAGTCCAGAGAGAGATGTAGGGGGAAAGCTAGACTCTGTCCTGGAAGAAGACACCAAATAAATGGTGGGGGATCTGGAAAACACAGAGGTCTAAGGAGCTCTGGGGATTTGTAACTTGATGAGGACAAAGGCTGGGGAGAGACAAGAGGCAGTCCTTCCAGGGCCTCGGAGAGCAGAGGCTGCAGGCTGGTCCCCTACTTCACAGCACAGGCCAGGGCTGCGGGCAAGGGGACAGGTGCAGTGGGCTCCATCTGGCTCAGGACAAGAAAAAACAACCACAGCAGACTCTCAAAGGGCAAGCCCTCTCTCACAGACTAGCCTTCAACAAAGACTGCAGGCTTCTCCCAGGGATCCTGAAGAAGGGAGGCTTTGTCTGGTAAAGCTGGAAAGGTCCACTCTGAAGTTCCTTCCGATCCTACGTGTATGTAAGTTATTTACAAAGTAAGATAAGAAGTTAAATCATGGAGACACCAGCCCCTTACAATGTACATATTTTCACAAACATGAGGTAAGGCAGGAGCAGGTGCCCATGGGTGTCTTGGTGTCTCATTATTTACCTTTCGTAGCCATTGTTTTGCTTCAGTCACTACTGCAACCGAACTGGAATGTCTGTCTGCTTTTACTCAATCCGTGTCGCAGGGAAGCGCATGAGCTCTGGAGTCACAGGGCCTGTGCTTAACTTTTGGTTCTACCTGTTGTAGGTTTGGGTCACGTTTCTTATCCATCAAGCCTCAGTTTCCAAACTGCAAGCGAGGAATAATAATAGACCTGCTCATTGGCTGGTTGTGAGGATCAAATGAGACAGTGCACGTAAAGCACTGGTGTGGTGCCTGCAACACAGCAAGCCCTCGGTGAATGTTACCTGTGGTCATATTGCTGGTAGTAATAAATCATACCCTCCTTTGCAATGGAGCTCCTAGAGTTTTACCTTCACATTTGCTTTATCCTACTTCAGGGTCTGGGTGACTGACTTTGTTTTGCTTCAGGAACAGTAGAATTGGAAAATGTGAAATGAGGCTTCTTAGACAGATGATAAAGGACGACAGGATGGCACAGTGGTGAGAGCAGGAGTCTGGTTCCAGAGCTCCGTCAGACTCGCTCTGGGACTGGAAGATCATTCATGCCTGGCATCAGTAAAATGAGAGCATTAGACCGAATGTTCTGCTCTTTCCTGGCTAAAATGTTTTGTCCTAAATGGGGCCATGAATGGAAAAGAATAATAAATCATGAGGCTAGACAGATGAAATGGGAAAACCAAAAGGCCTGGACAGTGACTATTTAAAGCAGCTTACAAAGCAAAGTACCTCCTTTACCAGCTTCGCCGTGTAGTTAATGGTCCTTGTGCACTGTATAACACAAGGCAATACTAATCATTTCTTCCAACTGTAGATTACTAAAATTTCCCTAAATTTTTAATAAAGGTGTACCTCGTTCCACTGAGGGAACGTTAAAGGTGACACCTGCCAAACCGTATAGTCCCTTATTGTAGGCCTGCACACTGTGGAAAGTGGTTACAGCTGGAATAGAAAGTAGCCTGCTATATAGCCCTGGTGTGTTGTACCTTTGATTTGCACTGGAATTCTGTGATTGCTTGCAGGATCAAGAACAGGTGGAATTAAAAGAAATCTTTTACCGCCAGATGACCACCTGAAGCTTTTTACTTTAAGCCAGGGTCACACACTCTCTGTGAATTAAGGGCAAAGCTTCAATCTCCCCCTTTTCTCCCCCCACCCCACTTTCTTCCCCCAATTTATCTCTGTTCAGGATCCTACTTGCCCACCGAATCCCCTTCCCCATCTACAGAAAAGCCAACATGATGGCCTTCTAGCTCAGAGACACTTTAAAACCTCAGGGCTACCAGAGCCAGGTAGTAAGGGCCCAGCTTATCAGCTATTTCCGGAAGGCCATTTCCATGATAAGGTGTATCTTATATTAATCCCAAACAAACAGTGCTACTAAATGATGAAGAGGATTTTGACATAATATCTGCTGAAAATTCCAGCTAAAAAATAGAATTCTTTTAAGCCCACCACTGTGTTCTGCTACCACAATATTACCAAAACTTCAGCCCACAACAGCACAGGTTTTACTTCCCCTTGCACCTGCTGCCACTGCTGTAGAACCTCATGAGCATCAGTCCAGTTTCTCCTTCCTCCTCAAGTTCCTTCCCAACCACCAAAGAGAATCCACCCAGCCCCTGATCCTGTGTCCACATCTTGGTTTAGTATTTTCACCACTCCTGTAAAAACAAGTTGGGAGTATGATACAAATACACATTTCCCTGCCTTTCATGATTTTAGAGATTGCTGCACTAGTGAAAGGCCACTCAAGAAGATGGACTTTCATCTAGGAAGCAAAGTCAATTATATTTTCTTACTATTAATAGAACTTACAGAGCTGGATAGAATCAAGCTACTAGAAAGAGATATGTTCTGATAAATCCTTATCAGAGAAAAAATATCTTTATAGGCTACAAAAAATATATTGGATACATTTTGGGATATTACCTCTCATCAATCAAAAATTACACTGAAATGTTTATTTAAAACTAGAGGCCCAATGCACGAAGATTCATGCAAGAATAGGCCTTCCTTCCCCCAGCTGCCAGCACCAGCTTCCCTTCAGCACCAAGGACTCAGGCTGCTTCGCTCCAACTGCTGCTAGGCACCCAGGACCCAGGCTGCTTTGCTCTTGCCACCGCCGCCACCTACTGGACCCGGACTGAGGTGGTCAATGCCACCTCATGGTGACCGGTCGTTTGGTTGTTTTGGTCATGATGCCTCTTGGCCTTTTATTTTTATGATGTCCTGAAGATGCCACACTTTGAGAAATTGGTTCATCCTAACATAACCCTCTAATTTCCAAGCTTTATTTTTAGCAGTGGAATTTTTTAAGCACCATTTACACCATGTTCTAATATATAAAATAAATAAAAGTCAAGGCTCTCTGGTCGAGACTAGGGAAGGGGGGAATAGACCCCCTCAACACTTTAGTTGGCCCATTGTTTTAGAATAATTGATCTACTTTATTCTCAGGAGGGTGAATAATCCCACTTCACTAATAAGGCTGATAGGACATGTATTAGGCAGAATTCTCCAGAGAAATAGAATCAATGCAGTGTGTGTGTGTGTGCGTGTGTGTGTGTGTGTGTGTGTGTGTAATATATACACATACTGGTATATAGAGGGAGAGATTTCTTTTAAGGAATTGGGGCCCATGTGATCGTGGGGGGCTGGCAAGTCTGAAATTTGCAGGGTAGGCAGCAGGCTGGAAGACCCAGCAGGAGTTGATGCTACAGTCCTGAGTCCAAAGGCAGACTGGAAGCAGAACTTCCTCCTCCTCCAGGGACCTCAGTCTTTTCTGCGAAAGTCTTCAAATGATTGCATGAGACCCACTCACACTGTGGAGGATAATCTGCTTTTGGCAATGTCTACTGGTTTACATGTTAATCACATCTACAAAATGCCTTCACAGCGATATTGAGACTGATGTTTGACCAAACAGCTGGGCACCATAGGCTAGCCAATATGACAAATAAATTAAACATCACAGTAGCTAAAATATCTTGTGCTGTTTCCTAGCTCCTCAGGTAATAAGAAAGGTTCTAAAGAGCTAGGTGATCAGAGACAAAAAATAAACAAACATCTTGAAGTGCCAATGTGGTCAGAAGATGCTTCTTTGGAATGAATGTAACTAAAGGTAGGGTCAAGCAGGCCTACTTTTGGTGAATTTGGTTTATCTCAAAAACAAATCATAGAGTGTAAATTAGTCACCAAAAGTGCCAAAAACAAAAAAACTTTTTCGTAAAAAATGTATTCTTTTGAAGTTGATACACCAGTAGATTGGAGTTTCATGCATAACTGTGCCCTATTTCTCAGCAACATTCTTGTTACCAAGATTGTTAATAAAGGAAATGAAATTTTTGCCCATTGAAAGCTGAGCTCATACTTCTTCCCAAAAGAAGTATTAGCTCTTTAGTCTAAAAGAAAGTAGTTCATAGAGAAGTGGCTGAATGATAACTGATTTAGGTTGTATATGCATTTAATCTCTCAACAAGTTTTGGGAGTATGAGTTGTGATCTCTTGTATTGGACAGCCTGAGTCTCAGAGTGGACCCCTGACAAACTTGACTACATTAACTGTTATGCTGATACCACACTCATTGATTTGGCCTCAGCTGTTGGATCAGGGCGGCCACTGTGTACACCAACAGCCTATAAAGTCAGTAATCTGGCACAAAAGCTCTACCTCACAGAGGAGATGGTGACCACAGGAACAAATTTAATTCCCCCCTTGAGAACGTTTTGAATCCTAAAAAGAAAGTCAATTAAAAGCAGCCGATAGCCCTAGCTGGTATACCTCAGTGGATAGAGTGTCAGCTTGCGGACTAAAGGGTCCTGGGTTTGATTCTGGTCAAGGGCACATGCCCGGGTTTGGGGCTTGATCCCCAGCAGGGGGCGTGCAGGAGGCACCCAATCAATGATTCTCTCTCATCATTGATGTTTCTATTTCTCTCTCCCTCTCCCTTCCTCTCTGAAATCAATAAAAATATATATATTTGTAAAAGCAGCCAATAAGGGAAGCAAAGACTAAAAAATGACAGAAACAAGCCAGCAGCTAGGAATACAGAGATGACCAAAGCAGACATGACTTCACAATTTCATAGAGCTGTCTGACTAGAAAATGAGGATTAAAATACAATGTGTTAAATATCACAATAGCAAGACCCAGTGAACACCATGGGAACACAAAGAAGAGCTAACTAAGGGTGGCTTTCTAGAGACCATACGCATAGCTGAGGAGCAATAACAGCAGAGCACTGCAGTTGGGCTGCATGAACTTCTGCTATTGAGGACGACATGATGGCTCCATAAGGCTAGAATTGGATCTTGGGGAATATAAATCTCCTAGTTCTCAAATTACATTCTGATTGTCATGTAGCTCAGATATGCGCCTCTGTGGCTGTTTTTACATGACTTCCAGTTCTATTCCTGTTACATGGTTCCCATGAGGCCCTAGACACCTCTTTTCCTTATTCCTTTTCTGTGTGTATTTACAGAAAGACCCCATTACTTAAGACAATCAATGTTATTTGTATCTGAAAACCAAACATGCCACTTTTGGTTAACTGACTGTTATGTAAAGAAGCTTCACACGTTAAGGCCAAAACAACCTAAAAGTCAAAATATGATGTAACTTTAACATTCAAATTGCTCAAATGCAAGGAAAGACTTATTCCACCTAATTTTTATTACACCCCCCTAAAAGATTTTACTTACACATATTGTGACCTGTATGTAATAGACAAACCAAGGAGAATTTATACTCTCCTCTCTGTCAGGTAGAGGCGGGAAACCATGAGTTAAGAATCAAAATGAATAGCCTAAAGTGCTGTACCTCATACCATCTTCAAATGTTAATTAAAATTTTCCATAGATGACTGAATCAAAATGCAAATTATACATATACACATACTCGCACTGTATGAAAACCATAATTGGAACCAAATATTTTCAAACCTGTTCCAAACTGGTATTTTATAGGATTCTATCCTTCCCATTTGGTTTCCTCAGTTGTCAGACTGCTAAAAAATATAAAAGCAATACAACAAAAGAAATGTATTTCCCTTTATAGACTGGCTGAGTCATTAATTACAGTAATTGTACCAACAGTGGTGTTAGTAGCACTATCAACTGTGCAAAATTATTTATGAATAATATATTACAAGAGGTAAAATTGAGTTAAAATGTTGAGCATCCTAATAATTAGAAAGGATGAATTTTCAATTGATTATACAGAATGCAACATACCTAATGCAAATATATGCAAATTAGAATTGTATTAACTTGAAAAGGCTGACTTTGAAATGTCAATGAAGTTTCACTTTCAGTGCCTCTCCCTCTCCAGAGTACACCAGTGCCTTTCCCTTCACCCTCTTTTCCTCCCAAGACACATACCTTGCCCATTCCCTCTCCCAAACTCCAAGGGCCCTTCTTCTGCCTCTGTAATGTGTTTCCTTAGTCCATTTCATCTACAGCTCACTTTCACTATCTCTATGACTTTCTAAGCAAACTTTCTCTTATAATTTGAAAAAATAATAAAGTTTCATTTTCAGCACAAATTTA